TCACTAAATGCGCCCTGGGCATTAAGTGGTTAATCTGTGCCTATGGAAATGTTTTGGAATAACTATAACAAGCTTCAACATCTCAAAGGACTTGAAGACTTGGGTTGCACTGTCATTCAAACAAGGCCTCAAGTGGCACACACTACTGCTAGCAGTACTAGCTTGATTTCCACAAATATCAGGTAATTTCCCAGCTGTGCTGCTTTTGATGGACAATTTCCTTCTCATCCGAGTACAAGGATTGTACCCAACTTGTGTCTCCTCTGCGACATGTCAGAAAATTCGTGATGAAAAGCACTATGAAAGACACAGCGTGTTACTGCAAATATATCACATGATATCCTATCAAAGGGAAGAATGGCACTGCAGATTGATTTTGAATAGCACATTTGGGAGTTGCTAAGGATGTCCGTTGTGCAGGAAACATCTACTGCCTGTCTGCCACTGACAACAGATTTTGTATCCATTAATGAACAACTTCCAAAATACACTTTTTGCAGCCTTTTTATCCACAGGTATATGAAGTAACTTGTGATGTAAGCTAACTAAACTCTTCAAAATATGCAGCCTCCCCAAACCAGTCTCCTTAATGTAAGGTCATTTCTCACTACCTTATTTATCTTTTATGAATGCCTCACGGCTTAAGTAGATACACTAAGAAATCCACAACCACTTTTACAATTAGGTAATTGAGTCTGCAAATTGCAGTTAATATCCTTGATTCCTGGCTATCAGCTGCAGGCATTATTCAGAGGAGATGCTTGATCTAAAGGGAATGCATGAGAAAGGCTGAAAAATAGCTAAGTGTGCATGTGACATTCAAATGAATACAAAGATGTATTTCAGAAGAGAAGTAAGACATTGCTTGGAAAATTATTACAGATTTTGATTAATGGAGATGTAAAACAGAATTATTAAATAGAAAAAACAAAACCTTTGAAGTCTATCAGCTGGAAGGAAAAACAAACATTGAGAACATGGCTTTGGAGACAAGACAGAAAATAATATGCCACCTATGAAATGATACACAAAATGGGCAAGTAAGAAAGGGGCCCTTCACAGCAAGAGAAACAACCAGATGCTGTGAATCACAGCGACTCTCAGATGCCAACAGGGTGGAGAGCCAAAAGACTATTTGTTACCTGATGCCAAAGGGTATAAAATAAACCAGCACATCTAGAACCAACATTTGGTGCCTACTCCAAGCACACCTGTCTTGACTGCTGAATGCTGGAGGTGACCTGCACAGGTGTGTCTTGGTGCTTGGGAGTACATGGCAATGGCAGCCAGAGTGACGGAAAATTAGTTTATTTTCCCATCCTAATTTTACTTCAAGATTTGCTGCACTGTTGCAACATTATTTTTTGTATCTAGGAAAACTATTTATTCTTTGAAGGACATATGGAAAAACAGTACAGGGAGAAGAAATAAGTGTTGTAAGGCAAATGAGAGGGACTGGAAAAAAAAAAAGGGGAAATATTACCTGCGCAAACAGAGATGGTACCAAAGCCACTTGGGAAAACATAGCAGGAAGCTGAGAAAAACACTAGCTAACAGAGAGATCTTGTCAGCAAAATGCAAAGAACAGAGGCACACGACTTCAGAAGGTAATTGTTAAAAGATAGAAACAATGAAGCAGCAGTAATGATATTATAGTCTTTATACCTCTCTGAGGTCTGAGAACAAATACAATCTCTAATGTAGTACAAGCAACTTCCATCTCAGCAGCCTGAACTTCAGGAAAAATACTGCCCCAGTGCCTATGAACTAGGAGAAATTCCCATTTTGAAGACCTCAAAGTCTAAATAGCCAAAGAAAACAAGAAAAGGAATATAGAGATGCTGAATGTTTCTGAGAACTGCATTTTTGAAGCAGCAGTAAAGAGCTACTTATTAAGAATTTATTATATGCATCTTAAAACACATTCTCAATGGAATTAAGAATCAATATGCCATTGCATCCAAAGGCAGATAACTTTAAATGTAATTAATAATTTCTTCCATGGAAACTATATAGAGCTGTTAGAATTATGTAGCGCTGAAAATAACATTATTTAGAGGTTGTGAAAAGACACCTGATTGCCTTTTCCCCCTCTTTTTTTTTGAAATTATTTTCTTTCATTATTTCTACAGATTAAAAAAAAATTAATTTTCTTTAAAAAAGCAGCTGATTTCCTCTGAAAGTCTATTCCTCCTACAGTTTCTTTCACAGTTGGACTGAAGTGCATCACAGGATACACAAACCAGAAAAAGAATGGGTCCAAGATGCATTTACCTTAAACAGGCATGTCCTTTCCTATTTTATCTTTGCACACTAAAAAGTAAATTAGTTCTTAACTTAGTTTTTTTGTCCATAAAACTACACAAATCCTTTGAGTTTTGTTGGTTTTCTGTTGGTTTAAAACAGATACTGCAACTTCAGTCATCATTTGTAGGAAACTGCTGTCCTATAGCAGCTGCTTTTAACACTTCCTCAGTAGATTTATCTTTTGAAGTTCTCACTGCAGTAAGTTGCATCAGACTTATTGCACACATGGAACAAAACTAATACAAACTATTTGGCAATGTTTCCCCAAGACCTGCACTAGTGATGAACACACTAACTCACCTGTTTAGAAAAGCAGACCGAATCACTGCCTCAAAAAGAGAACAGATTTGGATTGTCTTCCCCTGAATATCTGGAGGTTTCTCCTCAACTTATGAATCAGTCTAATAATTTCAATTTAATGTGGTCCAGTAGGTAGTTTTACCTCATGCAAAATGACACACTGATGAAACACAATCAACAGCACTGGCCCAAACACGATCTTTACACCTCAGTTAAAATGAATTCAGGTGGAGGTTTGAATACGTTTTACAATTAAAGCAAATGTATTTTATGCACTTGGTATACTTTCCTTCAAACTTCCCTTTAATTCGTCAACTTTTTCTATGAATTTACCCACAAGAAATTCCTTGAGGCTTCACACAAATTGCTTTTCTACTTTATTCTTTGTTGGTTTTCACTAAACTACAGAATAAACCTTACTGGAAGGCAAAGTACAACTTACCAAAACAATTTTAAAAAGTGGAAGCTCATTCTGTGGCAAAGGCTAAATTATGTCTTCCAAGAATCACATTTGGCAGGAGTCTTAATACAGCAGACTGCCTTGGTTTCCAGAGGTTACGTCTGAATTAAGAGAGAGAGCCAGCAACCCCAGCCCATAAACAGTAACACAGCATGTGAAGGAGAGCTGGAACAGAGAGCTGAAGATCATGAAAAGTTCAGGACTTTCTGAGATTGAGTTTAGGATGTAAAAGCTGCTTACTGCTCAAGCAAGTACCATTAAGAACACACCTTTCATTCAGTACATTCCCTGGCTCGCTCACGCCTGGAAGAAGCCAGAAGTCTTCTAATTGACCTCCCTCCCCACCCTCCATCCTTTTTGGAAGAACAAAACTTAGTGACACTAATGCAAGGGATGTAACACTTCATACTCAAGGAGTAAAACGTGGATTTGAATGACACAGAGATGGGGCCAGCAAGTCTCCCCTTTACAACTACACAGGCAGAAGCAGGGAGGTAACAACAAACACATTTTGAAGGTGTTCACACTCCTGCTCTTCTGCACAGGTGCAGCTGGCATGTGGAAACAGCTCCATTCTTTGGATGAACTCAGGACCATTGGATGCACATTTTGAAATTCTGACTACACAGAAAAATCCCACATTTGGATGCATATGCTTTTTAGTCCAGGACTGATCCCAAGCACATATGAGGTTATTTGTTGGTTTTGGTTTGGTTTTGTTTTTTTTTTTTTTTTAATATACAACTTCCTCTTGGCTGGATCCCTAAAGTTGTAAATTACACATTCTATGTTTAATGTATGATCTTGTTTGCCATTTTGTTTCCATAAAATGTTAAGTTTTATGGTGCCAACAACAATCTCTATTTAAATAAAGCCCTTTAATTACAATTTATTCTCATGTATATCCTGAGCTGAAACCAAAAACTATTTCTATTCGAAGGACCACAAAGAATATTCTTAATTTCTGTAATGCCATGATTCAATTTTTTTTTTTCTCTCACAAGCTTTTCTGCTTCCCAAACTGGACACATTCCATGCTTTATGTCAAACGTGTCAAAATAAAAACTGCTTCCAGATGCCAAAACAGCTCCCAGGAGGAAAGGAAAAAAAAAGGGGAAGAAAAAAAAAAAGAGAGAGAGAGATAAGGAAGAGGCGGAAAAGGTAGGAAAAAAAAGGAGGAAAAATATAAAAAGATTAGGCTTTTGATCACTCTAATGAAGATATGATATGTACTAAAACTGAACACAATGAAGGCGTGGTTTAATGGGTAAGAAATGCATACATTTTCAATGCAGTCCACTATCCAAACAAAATGTGGATAAACAACAGAATGATAACTCCTAATACTCTGTCAGCAGAAATCTCTCCAGTTTTAGAGAATTTTTCCACAAATACCTGATGATCAAACTAAAAGCACCCTTCTATCAACAAATTAATAATTTACAATTCACAATTTACATTTTTCTCTACATATAAGGAAATTCTTCTTACATCACATGATGACTGCTCCATTCATTGCACTCCACCTCCAATAATAACATTATGAATTAAGCCGAACATGTATAAACCGATGGGTGGAAAACTGCCTTTTCAACATCAATACACAGAAATCCTTAAAACACTTCCAACAAGAAAGATACCACTCAGTGCTGGTCAATGGCAAAGATGAATAGGAACTGATGTGTATAGCAAACAGTGCATACAAAACCAGGAACAATCCCTGTTGAGGCTGGGTTTGAGTGGGCATTTACAGAAGGTACAAGGCCAGGTGCTGTGTCCTACACACCTGGATCACAACAACCCCAGGCAGTGCTACAGGCTGGGGGAACAGCAGCTGCAAAGCTGCCCAGCAGGTAGAGACCTGGGGGTGCTGGTCAACAGCAGCTGAACATGAGCCAGCTGTGCCCAGGTGGCCAAGAAGGCCAATGGCATCCTGGCCTGGATCAGCAATGGTGTGGCCAGCAGGAGCTGGGCAGGGATTGTCACCCTGTAGTGAGGCCACACCTTGAGTGCTGTGTCCTGTTCTGGCCCCTCACTGCAAGAAGGACATCAGGGTGCTGGAGTGAGTCCAGAGTAGGGCAAGGGAGCTGAGGAAGGGTCTGGAGCACAAGTCTGATGAGTGACTGAGGGAGCTGGGGGTGTTTCATCTGGAGAGAAGGAGGCTCAGGGATGACCTTACTGCACTCCACAACTCCCTGAAAGGAGGCTGTAGCCAGGTGGGGGTCAGCCTCTGCTCCCAGGCAACCAGCAACAGGATGAGAGGATATAGGCTCAAGCTGTACCAGGGGAGGCTCAGTTTGGATAGTAGGGGGAATTTCTTCCTAGAAGATAGTGGATTGGGCTTCCCAGGGAGGTGGTGAAGTCACTGTCCCTAGAGGTCTTTAAGAAAAGCCTGGAAGTGGCACTCAGTGCCATGGTATAGTTGACAAGGCGGTGTTAGGTCACAGGTTGAAATCCATTATCTCAGAGGTCTTTTCCAAACTATTTGGTTCTGTGATTCTATGAAAAGAGTAAAATGATAGGAGAGCAGGAGCACTATTTATATACCAACGTCCTTTCAAACAGGCACATATCCTGCATAATAGTAACACTCTTGGAAACCTGAAATTTGATCTGAGCCAAAACCATGAGCTGGATGGTGAGAAAAATCAGCAGGACAACCTTCTGAGCAACCACTAGCTGAACGAAGCCTGGAGATGCTCACAGGGGAACTCTACCGTGAGCAGGGAAATCAGGCATTTAAAATCTCATCATATGAATGGCACTGCATGTAAGATACCAAACTAGCTTTCGTTTTCCAGCAAAATAACCACAGACCCCCTGTATTTTGGGCTGTTTCATGAATCAAAGAAAGGTAAAAATCACAGCTTTTGTCATACAGCTTCCTTGTACAAACTCCCAGATTAGCAGTTTGCTTCTGAGCCCCAGAAGTTTTTGAGAGCTGTGCAGATGCAGTAACTTCTGAGCAGTGAGAGGCAAATCTTGCAAATGGAACTGGGAAAAAACAACTCAGTGATACCACCTATGTGACGTTTTCTACTTCTGTTTTGGGAGCGCATTTGTCATATTATGTTATGAATAGCATTGCCTAAAAGAAAAAGTGTAATATAAATTAACATCACAGAAATTCCACAGTCTAATAAGATGTCCCCAAGTGCACATCTCCAGCAGTATTTCTGCCCTCACAGCAGACTCAAAATAAGGAGCCAAGCAGGAACTCTTAAGTGGTGTTGAATTTCATGCTGTTTTGTGAAAAAATATAAGTGAAAAGTAAAATCAAGCCAGGAGATTTATTTTCACTTATTTAAGTTAATCTTAAAAAAGACTAGAAACAGTACGACAGGTTTCTACAGATGACAAATTGTCATAGTTCTTCCAGCCTCAGTCTACTGGTTGTTTTTATTGAGTGAGCAAGTAACAAAACCAGATCATCTCAGCATAAGAGCTTACTGATGATTTACTAAAAGGCAAACACATTTCCTACATTGCTCTGCTGCTTTTACTTATGGTATGCTCATTTGATTGCAACACTGAAACCAGAAGCTAGCTCAAGACACACTCGATATTCAGTATTTTTAGGGTGTTAGCCTGGTAGGTGCCTTACAAGATATAAAGGATTTGCCACTTCAGGGAGAGTTATTATGCAATCCTTTCCCATGCAACGATGCAGCTCTCTCCTTGACACATACCAAATGTGTCTTTTGTTTATAAAACCAGAATTCAGGGAGAATCAGAGCAAGATTTTCTGAAGATTACAGGGGATATAAATTATATTTCTGTGACTATCACAAGCCTCTGTATGTTTAATCATTGATGCGTTGGTTGCTAAATGATGATTGAAACTTAGTATCTTTATGCCATTTTGCATATTTGTAAAAACAAGAAACAGTTTATTTGGACTCAACCACTCTTTAAAAATTGCTGTAGCCATGGAGTCCAACTAAAAAAGTGAAATAAAAACCTGCAAAAAAGTGACATGAAAAAATAGCCCCCGAGTCGCTGTGCAGAAAAGGAACCATGACCTGATTACCTAATCCTCATTACTTTTTCTGAAAGCATGTACTCTGAGGTTAATTTTTGACTAAAAATCTTCAGAGCATTGCTGAGCTTGAAGGAGGACAGCTTGTGCAGAACTTTAACATTTCTAAAATACTTTCTTTCCGATTGCAACATTCCTATATATGACTGAATAGCTCATTCTGAATTTCTTCATGTCACTACCTTTTCTTATTAAGCCAAAGCCCAGCTCCTTATGTTGTCTAAAGAAACATGGATATTAGACAAAGATGCTGCGGTCGGGCACTCCAGCCTAAAATATCATGCAATTATAGAATTTCATGTTTTCAAAATAGGGAGTCCCTAGAGACAAACTGTTTAGCCTACTAGTTCCAAACTTTGATATGTTATTAAAAAACATTATTAAAAATGTGAAACCAGTTAAAAAGAATGTTCCATTTGTATCAGGCATTTTTATATGACTTCAAGAAAAGCTGAATGTCCAGCTGCCAGGCACTAATCTGTGAAGTGTCAAGTACTTGGTATAGCTGGCATGGGATTATTGGTTTATGGGATTAACTGAATGGCTATTGAGGTAAGAGTCAAAATTATCTCAAAGAAGCCAAACTTTGCTGTAAAAGTGATGACCCACCCGTCTGGTGCCACATCTCGGATCTTTTGCAGCTGTCCCAGACAGCACCACTATCTGGCATGTTTCATTGGAATACTCTCCTGACACAGCTTCATGCCATTCCCTCGGGTCCTGCCCCTGGCCACCAGAGAGAGGAAGTTGTAGACAGCAATGAGGTCTTTCCCTCAGTCTCCTTTTCTGTTCCTTTCAGGAACCAAGTGATGTCAGCTGCTCCTCATAAGGCTTCTGCTCCACACCCATCACCATCTTCATAGCTCTCCTCTGGATGCTCTCTAATAGCTTTAGATCCTTTCTTTTATGTGGCACCCAAAACTGCACACAGGACTTGATGTGAGGCCGAGCTGGTTGAAAGGTAATGCTCTATTTATGACATTTCATCATTTCATAAGGTAAAGAAAGACTGCTCTTTTCAAAGCAAACCCATTTACCACTTACCAAAACCAAAATTCAGTATGCCAGCATTTGTACCTTTTGCATTTTTTAAAATAAGGACATGAAGAATATCTCAGGAAATACTTTAGGATTTTTATGTGGGTGGGTGGAGTAGGGGAGGAGTAAGGAGCATAACTTTATTTTTTAGTATTGTGCACAGAATGTAGGTCAGCCCACTCCAATGGAAATACCCTGTGCTGATTCTTCACATTCTTAGACATAAATATCTCACTATTTTGTAGGCTAGGAAATTGTGAATTTTATTCGTGGTCCTGTCCCAGAATTGTCAGGGGGAACCTTAATGTTTGTACCTCTGGACTCCTTATTAAAAAAAAACAAAACAAAAAAACAAACTAAAATTTTGCTTGTTTAGCAAATTATTAATATAAAGAGGTAGCATGTAAATGTTGAGTATTACACCTTCTAGAGCCCATGCCACAACATAATAAATTAGAGAAGCTCAGTTTCTAATTTCTCAGTAAATACTATTTTGTGCATAACAAATGCAAGACGCATTTATTTCAATATGAAACAATCTGGAAAATGCCCTTCCTTCCCTATAAAAGCTATTTGTTAACTAATAATAGACATATATTTTACTGTGTAAAAGTATAAACTATTTTTAACCTCACATTGTCATACAAAGTTTATGGAGAAAATACTTACAAAAAGGAAATCAGAGACCATTTCCTGTTTTAACAAGGATAATCCCTTGACCAGAAGGCACAAATATTCATTCCTCTTTAATGTTAATTAGCACACTATTTATTTTATATTTCACAATTTAAAGAAAGAAAGCAAGTTGCTGGGAACATTATTAAGTTCAAAATATCTTTTACCTTATTTATCCAAAACTAAATAAAACTGTTCAGTCACAGACTTGTAGCCTCCCGCTATGTTCCTGCTATTAGCCTTAAATCATTTTTAGAGTTTCAGTAACAGTAAGTCGCCAAGCTCAAATATACAGCTATCTACATCTGCTAGATAGTTTGTTTTACTGGATAGTCTGGAAAAATTTCACTCACTTGATCCAAACTGTAAAGTTTTTTGCTGCTATCAAGGAATCAATACTTTTAAAATTTGCAAATCAGCATTTGAAAAATGCATTTGTAAGAATGTTGGCAGGACAATGGTTTTTTTCCTTTAGGTGAGCATAAGATAGCCTCTAAAAAAAAAATGCATGCAGACAGGAGTTTTAAAAAGTAACTACTCCTTCTTTAATGAATGGCTGAATCTCTAAATTTCCCATTTGAGCCATAGAGAACCTTTTCAGAAACTGCAGTTTCTTCAACTGAGGAAACTTACCAGGCTGAACAAACAAAAATAGGGACCATGAAACCTAATTTCAATTTTTCCCTATACAGAGGAACACCAGAATGCTGGAAGTGACAGAAGCATGGCTGCTACTACTGCACTGAACCATGACAGGCAGCAGTGACACCCATCCTGTCCCAAAGCAATCAGATTCAGTGACCCCTATGTCTGGCAGCATCAGCCTCTTCACCCAAAATGTCATGAACATGGTAAGAAATACCTGGCTGCCCTCTCTAATGCTCAAGTCTGTACATCTTCCATATGGATAGCACAATCAAACCTTTAGCACTGCTGTTTCAAGGCATTCCATAAACTGATTTTTGAGTTCTTCACATGTGGACCAAAGTCCACACATACCAGGCTGATTTAATGAGCTCTTAACCAAACCCATTTACCTGTTCTGGACCCATCAGGTGTGCTAACCAGCACAATCAGAGCTGGGACCAGGGTGGGCAGGAAGCACTGCTGCACCACAGAGAAACTGCCACCATTCACACACCTGCTTCCCTCTTTGCCCTGCAGAACACCCAGCAAGAGGCATTCACTAAGTGCTCAAACTTGCACGTGCCTGCATTTCCACTGCAACATCCCTATTTCTTGTCTGAAGTCATGCATAAAATCCAAGGGCAGTTGTCCAAAATTGGTGCTGGCTTCAGTCCAAATTGCACTTCCCAGTTTTAACTGATACATCTTTGTTAAAAGCAAGCCCCAAGCAAATAAGCTAATGCACATCATTTAAAGAGTCCTGCTCTCCATATGGAATATCAGTCTCTTGTTTTTTTCCTAACTGATGCAGCCATATCTATTCTTATGGGGGATCATGGACTGTAAATCAGAGACAAGGGAATGAAACAGATAGAAGACATACCAAACTGGTTATGATCCAGTGCCAGGTAGGTGTCACTGGAACAGACAGCAAGATCTTAATGGCTCCCAGGCTCCCTGAAGGCCTTGAGCAAAGCAGGCTTTCCCAGAGGTGCAACTTTCGCTCCACGTGCACTACAGGTGATTCCCATTTGCCTACAGTGATGGCATCTGCAAGCCTGAGACAGCTGCACTGAGTTCATTACATACAACTTCTCAGCTCTGACGAGGGCAAGACATTCACAACCACAATGAACAAAACTGTTTCAGAGCATAATGAGTTCTCTTGGTTCCTGCATTGCTTAAACTTGTCTGCACCAGGCAGGCACTACCTGTGATCAGTGAATCCGTCCTGCCTGGGCTGGTGTGTTGAGTCAGCTCATCTAAACTGAAAACATGTGCCCAAGCACTTGTGATCCTGGCACACCAGCCTGGGAAATTCCTCTGCAGCTGCTCTGATCCACCATATCTTCCATGCCCTTTCAAGTGCAAAGAAAAGGAGGTTAGGTAAAATTCCCTCAAGAGATGGGACACTATCAAAATGCATTTTCAGGGGATCAGTCTGAAACTTTTTCTGGCTAACGTAGAACATGAAAGTCACCTCCTGTAAATAAGTTTTAAGTTTACCTATTCAGATAAACTACTTTAGGTAAACACTGACATGTGTAAGAGCTTGAACATAATGTTACATTTATATGGATGTATTTAATACAAATATACTTCAAAAAGATGACCAAGGAAACCTGATTGATATAAGAAATACACTTGATTAATATTTGTCACTAAAAGGTTAATTTTATTTAAAACCAAATTTAAACATTTCCATAGGAAAAATTCTCTGCCAAAACTTAAAATAAGATGCTAAGATGGGAAAATAATTTTGGAAAATAGTGAACACTGGATACGAAGAAATAATTTCGCAGGAGTCATACTGAAATTGCTTATAATGGAGGTTGTAGAAAGGAAAAAAATCTCATAAAAACTAAACATTAAATAGCCTACCAAAACACAGGGACTATTTTCTTCTTTGATATGTTATCTAGTGATTTCATCCTGTCCCAAAAAAACAGGTCTTCCCTTAACAATTCAGTTCACTGAATAACACACAAACACACCTACAAAACTTCTTTTTTCTTCTCAGTAGAAAACAAATCAAAACCATTCATTCATTTCTCTGACTACAAGTGCTGGTCCTCAAGGAGTGTACGGTTAGGTATAAAGCAATAAGAAGCTACAAATTTAATCTGGCCAGCAATGGGACATGGTCTTTCATTCAGAAGAAGCAATATATGGTACATTATTATGATGTAGATTAAATAATGCTTACTAGCAAACAAACAGCAGTCAAGAGTGACAGCATGAACTATACAGAATCTAACTGTCTTGCCTTTATTACCTGTCAAGATATAACAGAAGAGGAAGAGAGGTTGGTTTGTGGGGGTTTTGGGGTGTTGTTTAGGCTGTAAGAGAGTATTTTACCATATGCCTGTGTCACAGCCATAGCATGGAGGTACAGTGATCCAAAGCAAGGTATATTTACTCTGCATTTTCAACAAGCACTGGCTTACCCACATCAGTTTAAAACAAGTGAAGTAAACAGTAAATGCACAGACTATATGAAAATTTCTATCATTTAAATACATTCTTTTCTATTCACTTTCAAAAGTTACAGAAATGATAATGATATTTTCAAGCCAACTGACCTCTACTCTTTTCCTCTTAAATTAAAAAAAAATCCTTAGTCATCAGCAAGGCATGTTCTGCTCTCCTGTAACTACATTCATTACTCACATGACTTCTTCCTTCCCAGATCTTAGGTCATGTCATTGTTTAAACTAAAGCTTTGGAACACCTTCAAAGCTCTTCAACACTTGTGGCTTTTATGGCAGTGTCCTCTTCCAGTTCTCCATGTACATCTTGGATGTGTCTTCAAATAATTTCACAAGTATCTCCTCCATCAGTACAACTCTCAGTTTTTCCCTTTCCAGCTAATCCCATCCTTCCAATTCTGTCCTCAGTCTTCTATTCCCATCTTCTGATCACAAATGGCCACAGCCATCCTTGAATCTTAATTGACTCACAGTCCACACACCTGGGATGTTTGCAAAGGCAAACCATTCCATTATGATCTACAACTTTTTCATCAGCTCTTCAGCTAAATCGTTCACTTAGGACTACTACTTCTGCCACATCTACAGAAACCCTCCCCTCTCTGGCCAACCCAATACCATCACAACCACATCATGCAATCCACCAAGGGCCAGAAGTAGATTTCCTGTTATTACTCTAACCTCAGCCTACTAAGTAACCTTTCAGCCTCTAGCTTTTAGACACAACAAACTGAAGTTGAATGTCCTCACCCTCACTTCCAGCCATCAGTCATACCTATCTGATCAGCCTCAGCTCATCGACCCTACCCTGAAGAATTTATCAGCCTTCCACCAAGTGTAACATCATTCAGCATTTCCACGTGTGCATTGCTGGTCACTGTACAGGAATGATGCACCCTTTGTGATTGAGAAAACCTCTCTCTCTCTCGTTGGGATGACACCTACTGTAATAGATACAAAGGCACATCATCTAACAGAGGGCAGCTTTTCTTTTCCTGTTACCAGTTTTCAATTTAGAACTAAACAATTGTTAACCTACTTTCCTACGTGAGTTGAACTTCATGGCTTTCCTTTACTCTTACTGCTTTCACACTTCTTGTAGTTGTCTCAAAACCAGCCCACTGAGTCTGTGAGCACCTGGCTTTCACACCTAGCTGTTCTGAGCACTGCTACAACACAGCAACGAAACAACACCAAAGGCAGGTGCCAAATGCCACATCCCCAGAGACATTTTTTGGACCAACAGTGGTCAGAATACCTAGCAGAGTTTAAATCCTTTGTAAACAATATGAAATTGAACTGTAAGATAAACGTTTTACAGAGGAAATATAAACTTCACCATCATTTATATTTTTGAAATGTTACCCTGTGTTACACAGATCACCAGGATGAGTTGAGCAATTAAACAATTATTATTCATCTGTCCCACAAAAGCACCTGAGGAAAGTGACAAAATGACAGTTTGGAGACAAACTGAGCATCATGCACCACTGAAAAACTGCGATTTCACTTCAGGTGGCCTGGACTCCAGCTTATGTTCAATAGACACTCTGAAAACTTGTTAAGCTCTTAATCACTAAGAAAGAAGAAATTTATTCAACAGGGAACAATATTTTCATTCTGAAAGTATTAATACAGATATTTACTTATGAGATCATTTCCCTCTTACAATATCCAGGTAATATTTTGGCAGGACAGTCCTGGCCCTCACCCACAAGTGAACTAGAGCTTTGTTCCTCCCATACACTGATTTCAAACTACACTGGGTCACCCCAAGAGCTCCTTTCAAGGGGATATAGTTACAGCACTAGTTCCAGAGACTTGAACTTCTTTCTCTATGAGGAGAAAAATATTTCTTTGATAGGCTGACCTTTCTTCAGATATGTTGATATCTGAAGGATGTCAGGTCATTGTGAGAATTTGGAAGCTGGGATGACTCCAAAGGCTCCACATATTTTCAGAGTGACCATGCCTGTAATTTTGACCCATTGAAATGAAAGTGCATGACTGGAGAAGTGTAGTACTTAAAAATCTCACTATGATTCAAACACAGATTTATTTCCTGCACCAGTGATTTGGTAGCATCACTTCACAAAAGGCAACTTTTGTGACCTTCCTGCATTCTTGCAACTCACATGAAAAAGAACAATGGAAATGTGGCTGAATGTGAGAAAGCACTGAACTGCTATGGCTTTTTGGGTGGGTGTAGAGAGAAACACACATACTACAAAATAATCTAATAACTCCCCACCCAAGCATTGCTAGTGAATGACCTCACTGGTTTCCTACATGTACTCCAGCAGCTTTCCTGCCATCACTCTGTTAAGCCAAGCAATGATGTCAACAGTCCACCTGTGAGAGTGATGCAGCCCTCTGGGTCATGGTCTCAGAGAACTTGGATAAAAGCTGTGCCAGTGTTAATTAAATGCACCTCTTGTTTCACTGCTGATTTCCTCTGATAAGGCTCAGCTCATTTTTCCTGGAAAGACTTCCATGCTCTACGGGAACTGGAGCCAACCATAACAAAAACCAAATATTGCCTGGAGAATATGAAGACAACATGCTAAATATTTACTTAAAAAATATAAAATCCAGTGTATCAGAGCTGGGATAAATACAAATGTCATTACTTTGCATGTGCTAGTGACAAGGCTAATCTACAAATGCTAGTTACTGCAGATAGTTTATTATCTTTCATCAGTACTTATCTCTCTCATTTGTAATGATCTTCCCGATTACACTGCAGCAGAACTCTAACAACCTGCTTTACTGATAGATTCTGACAGGTTAGAATATGAGAAGTTTGGCCAGTAAAAATTGGGCTTTGAGAATGGAGTTTGAAATTTAATTAACATCAGAATTACCGCTACAACTTTAATGAGAAATAGTATTTTTTTTTCCTGCCATCAGAAAAGCCTTATCTGTAAGAAGGTTCTGAGTAGCTTAGGTATCAAGGACCTCTCCATTAATACAATTAGCCAGCAAGCAGTGGAAGGGAAAAAAATTTATATGCTGCTCTTTCTTTTTTTCCTATATAAAGAAAGCTAATCCACTGTCATGACTGGATGTTTTCACCGTATGCTGTCACTGGGATTTCTGTAATCCCTCTACTCATAGCATTGACTTCCAGCCACTTTAAGCCTTCAGGACAAGCCCTTTTATACTTGCTTTGTTCTTTCAGACATTTTCAGATAGCTTTATTAGTAAGAGAACTGCCAAAGGAAGGTTTTCAGTTTTGAAACTAGACATCAAAAATATTTCTTCTTGCACAACTTAAGAAGTAACCCTAACCCTAAGACTTAGTTGCTGACAATGAGCACAAAAAATCTGAAGGTGACGAATTACAAAGATTATTTCAAAAGTCGTCGTGCAATTATATTATGAAAGTTTGTTTCATGATGATCACAACTGTCCACTCTGAAGAGCACCAAGTTGGACCTCTTGCTATAAATTTAATTCTAAAGAAAGAACTGTGTGGTAATGATGTTAGGAATACATTTGTATTCATTCATTCATTCTGATTTGTAGCAATTGTGATGGTTCCAAGAACTGTTCTGTCCCACATTCCTGAGAATTACATTCCGGAGCATTAGCAATATTTTCCAAACAACCAATGATCGATGTCCATGTATTTACATTTTTACCTCTTGGGGATCTTATGTTTATACAGTACCTCGCCTACAAACTCTCTTGGAATACATAACACAGAGTGTACTGCCTTCCCAGGTCAGGATATGGGAGAAGTTCCATGGCTAGTACTACATCTCACCAAAGTCAGGCTAACTAACTTAGACGTATTTTTTACACTCTACTCCAAAAAGAAATCTCATATACAAAATGTCCTTCAAAAGAACTGCATTTTTTCGTTCTAAATGGATACAGAAAGGGGCAATCCTTGAACTTGTTTGGCTTATACTGCTCCTATGGACAGTTTCTATGGATTTATGACATGGAACTGCAGCTAGTTTATAGCAAAGCAGGCAGGGTGTGACTCATTCAGAAAGCTCAACCCAAGAATATTTCATTCTGACATCCAACAGAATCGCTCCCTCATGGATTTGAATTAGTTGCTGCCCATTACTCACATGCACTCCTTCTCATAACTTCATGACACATAACTTGCAGCACAAACTTGAATCCAGGCCATGAAGGAGATACCAGAAGTTCTGACAAATTTTATCCTGTCACCAGTAATTGGAATTTGGTCATACACAATTTAAATACACAGCTGCGCTTTGCTTCTGGGGGATGTGCATAATGTGGTCAGGCAGAAGGAAAGCATATCCCCAAGTCCAGTGACTTAAAGTGACACAGCTTCCTGAACTCCAGGAACCCTCCTGGTCAGAAAGTACTTCCTTCCTCGTTTCAAACACTTGATTGTTTCAGAGGGAATTCAAAACAATAGATTAGAAACTTTCAACCTTTCCTAAGTGTACTGCTACACAAGGAAATCAGGCCGTGCTCTGGGAAGATGAGATAACATTGGGAGAGTACTCTTTCCGGAAATGCAATGGCTTTTGCATCCCTTGTCCAGCCCCATCCCATGAATCAGCTACATATAAGTAGTAACTCTAGCTATGAGATGTCAGATGCAGCTCAGCTGCTGTTTGGATTAAGATGTGTGTGGTTGGCAAAAGGCATGAGCCAACTCACTTCTCAGCTATTTCAATTGGGCCTGTAAGGGAAGAAAGTATTGAGAGCTTCCTAATCCAAGTCTGTACTTGTAAGGATGGGTAGGAAGAAAGGATGACTATTACCTCTTTTTATCACCTCATTATTTAAATCTCTAAAAAAGGAGAAGGAATGTGCTATTACTTCTGCAGTTAAAAATCTACTCCTTCCCACCATAACTTACTTTTACAGGACCAGTAGTGATGTTCACAAAGACTGGAGCAGATCAGACTCATCAGCTGAAGAGCAATTATTTTAAGCATAATCTATTCTCCAACACAATTCCTTTAATCTAAATACATTAAAATGGTTTGTAATGATGGATAAAAGATTTAAAATTTGGAATAATATCTAACTATTTATTTACATGTTGCACTTTGAATAAGAAAAGGAAATGACAAGCAAATTAATTTTTCTAATTAATACCTAAATACCTAAATTTTCTAATTAATGCCTAAATACCAAAGACTAACCTAGAAACAACAGCAACAGAAACAATAGCAAGAGCCATTCTCTCAGACCTGACAGTCAAAGCTCTTATAGGACATTGGATTGTCTTGATTATCTTTTCCTATCAATCTAGAGCTACAAAAAGTTTGAGGGTAAGATCAATATACAAAAACAAGAACTCACACGGCTGTACACGTTATTTTTAGAGGCAAACAGGAAATGCACTTCCCCGTCAAGCTGGGTGAAAGGGGAGTTACTGAGCTGAATACTTTGCACTCACCGTTCCTACGAGAGGGTAGATGAATCCAGCTCCAATGCTGGCTCGCACATCGCTAATCGGCAAAATGAAACCAGTGGGAACACCCTTCCTCTCAGGCTGATGGGAGAGGGATAGGTGAGTTTTTGCCATACAAATGGGAAGATTTCCAAATCCCTAAAAAAAAAAAAAAAAAAAAGGGAAAGAAAAGAAAAATGTTTTTAAAATTACAGTAAAGGCACATTATGTTTTGTTTTGTATTAATGTCTTCGTGAGGGTAAACACAGATGGTGCTCATGATGCTTTCCTTTGCTTTTAAACAAGACAAAATCTGCATGGGATGATGGCAACCCCTTCACTAATGCCAGTGCACTAGTTACTGAAAATGTGGGAGAAAATCAGGAAAAGTGCCTAAGCCTCTCCCCCTGCCAATTATTTGTCTCCAAGTTATTGATTAATCTAGAATCAGGCACCTTCCACTCTTCTGTTCAATTCTTTGACAAACAGGGCCAGGAGGAGAGGCAGCACTTCAGGGAATTGTCTCTGCAGCCCAGTGCTGACAACTCTTTTTGACATCGTGAAAGTATTTCCTAATATCCTAACATTGAGAGTAAAAAATAGATCAGAGAATCACAGCAGGAAAAAATAAAGGCATGGATTATTTTGCTTCAAGTACACTAAGTAAACTTCTTTTCCATTTGGAGGAATGAAATTCAGTCTCAGGAAGTTCGCGTTATTGGGAAGATGGCTGTCCGCCTGTCTGACCAAGGACTTCTGCTTGTCTGACCAAGCTGCTGAAGTTTACTCAGGAATTTTTCCTGGACATATTCTTTCTGACAGAAAGGCTCCAGTCACATTTATGTCCAGAAGCCATTTCACTACAAAAAACACATTCACCTCTCCACATGGTTTCAAAATTTTTCAAACTGTAACATGTTCCCACATGCTTTAGGATAGGTGATCAATTTAATTATCTAGTATTCATAACTTCCTGAAAGTAATAGGAACAGAAAGAAATCAAAAGATTTTACAAATATTGGGAGCTTTGTTATCAATGTGCATAGCTGTATTTGCAAACTCTTTTTTGCAGATACAAATGAACACTCATGCTAAAATTGGTTACATTTGCTAGCAGCAACTTTTGCAGATATGCAGTTGTCAGGTTTAAGAGAGTAACCCAAACTGCACAGAAAGTAGTTTCATGGACAATCTCAGAAGCATTCTGAACACCATATCTCACAGGACATCGCTTTCAAGGTTAAAACCATTCTGTTCTATCGAATCTAAATCAAACCATACTGACCTCCCCAGTTTACTACCATGGGTAAACCCATGCCTTTCAGCAAAGCTTGACTTAACACTCCAGTCTGAGAACATTTTACACCCTGAGCATTTTACACCAAGACTCGCATCCAGCAGGCACCTGCCTGCACAATTCCCTGGTGCTCTTACCTGCTGGGTGTAACGATCAACTTGGGACTGTGCAACAGGAGACAACTCTATATCCTGAGCTCCATACACCTTCTGAGCAATGGTCCTTATTTTTTCAACAATAGGAAGCTGCAGAGACAAGGAAACAATACAAGGATGAGCCTTAGCCAAGAGAAACTAGGATCTTGTTTGCTGAGTGAGGCCTCTGAATCTCTCATTTAGATTCATCCTTGTTTAACAGGCTTGCTAAAGCATGAGAGAAAGTAAAGAGCAGTGGTGATGGATATGCAGCTACAGGTACAAGAACTAACAGCCATGATTTCAGCTACTCCATCATTTGGAAGCTGCACAATTTGTGCATTACAGAGTTGATAACATGAGCTTATGCTCACCTGAAGTGGAGGGGAGAAAATTACTGCCATCTAGTTACAAGGATGAAGAGATAACCTACACTGCAATCTCCACTGGGTTAGCAGGGATCACTAGACAAAAAAGTTTCATTTCAGAATAAAGATAACCTACACGAGTGAACAAGGCAAGGTAGGAGGCAGCCAGGGAAGGCCCCCCTGAGAAGTGAGGAATTGTAGCTGAAAATTCCTAACCCATCACTGCTCGTTTGATTGTGATTTTCTTTTATTGTTTATTATTATTCTTACCTCTATCCTTTCTAACATGCATATTTTTAATTGTAGCTTTGATACTGTAAAGCACTTCAGACACTTAAAAAGAAAAAGAAAGCATTCTAGAATTAGTTTTGAAACCTCAAGTCACTAAGTTCAATCCCAGTCTCCAAGAGTATTTGCATCATGTTACTGAGCTCAAACTGAAAAAGTTCTGCTTTCACAGCTTCTATTTGAAGATAGAATCTCACATTCAGTCTGTTAGAAAACCCTTAACAGATTTTCAAGAAACATTTTTTTGTGGTCAGATCAGGCATTTACTTTTTGTGCCATCATTTTTGTGCATTTTGAGTAAACAACTCTTTCCTATTTCCTCTTTCTCTTTCCTTTTTTTTTAACAAACCAGGAGACAGCAATTGTTACTCCTGAGGCCTATTTTAAACAAGCCATTCTCTGACTTCTTTCAATAGGAACAGGATGATGGAGGAGGGATCTTACCACGAGTTCAGCAAATTCAGTGCTGACTACAGATAGCCAGAGATGTGTGCAATATTAAAGGGAATATCTCTTCAGTAACTTGTAGCATATTTAATTAACAACACACATAGAATAAGTGCTAAACAAAATCTAGAGAGATAACCACTTGGGGAAGAAGACTTGGTAATCTCAAGCAATAGAAAAAGCACCCGAACACAAAATAGAAGTGGATAATTTTATTCTAACAAAGGCAAGAAATTAATTAATTTGTGAATAATGAACTCTATCTGGTGCATTTATAAGAAGTTCCACAGTTAACCGCATTTTTGCAATGCCCGTCTGGAAGTAGCTCTTTTTCTGCAAAGATACATCCATTGAAGGGTTTGTGTCAGGCCAACCTTTTCTGTATTTTTGATTGAATTTTAGAAAAATTAAAGCTTACATTAATAAAGTAACAGTAACAGAAGTATCACACGAAGATAATCTCTCTAGACTTCCAAGTACCTTAAATGTAAGGCAGTTAAAAGCTACTAAGGCTCAGATAAAATTCCCCCTCAGACCTGAAATTTCAAAGACAGTTTTAAAGAAGCTTCACAAGACACTTTCTGAACATGCTCACTATACAATTACTGCACCTTAATTGGGTGGAATAATTCACATTCCCAACATCAGGCTTTTTACAGGAATCCAAGCAGTGCAAAAAAAAATCTAATCAGGACCGGAGATAGCACATTGCAAATATCCTGGGTATAATTCCTGGCAGCAGTAAGCTGAATGGAATACTCAGTGTCATGGGCAGCCATCACAAGATGAAACTTGTCTCAGGGTGATTATTAAATAGTTCATATCCATGGCAGTTTTCAACACAGAGGGAGAAATGCAAAACATGTCTGTTAATTTGCCTTTTGGGTGCTGTTTGCTTGCAGTAAAGGACTAACAGCAATAGCAAATGGAAAGGCAAAAGGAATTCCATTCCTTGTTGTCAGCGGGCCAACATCGAAACTAACAGCTCTCTGCTTGAACCTCAGTAAATTCATTGAGATGGAGATGGACATTTAGGTTGAGCTTGCATTTGTGTCAAAACATTTCCAACTAATTTGACAGCAGTGTAACTACTGTGCCGTCAGCCCCCTTCCAATGACCACAGCCGCATTTTCCAAAAGAAGCCCAGCAGGGCTCTGGCTAACATCAGAGGAGAATGCTTTAATGACAGCAGTGGCACTCTGCTTCTCCTGGGATATGTGCAGTGTGTTGCATGACTGAGTCTGAGCTGGACAGTCAAGCCATATCCCTATGGATTTATAGTTTGTGTTTATTTCCTGTTTTTTGTTTTTTTTAACCAAAATTTCAGATACTTCTTGTGGGTTGGTACTGACACCTCAGATTGTACAAATGTAGCCTCAGAAGAATCACCATTGAGGAAGGAGTTGTGGGAGTGGGAATGGCAAAAAAAAGTGGTTTCCTGAGCCTGTCATGTTTTTGCCTGGCATGTGCACACAAACAGGTGAGGCAATGTGTGCATGGTGTGAGAGGAGAGTTTGAGCCCATTTAATCTCAGCAGAGGCAAGATGAGTCCTGGCTGAGCCAAATACAGACAGAAACCAGCAGGAAGGCACAGATGTGCTATGGACATTAAGATAGCCCATGCACATGCTCTCAGATATGCTTCCTTCCTGAAATTTCAGGAGTAGGGAAAGGAGTACACTACACCATGCTAAGGATCCACCTGTTTCCTAGTATTTAGTGGGACTTTTAAGGCATTATCTATTTAGAATCACAGTGTAACAGGACATTTCAAGCTAAAAAGTTTCCTGTGTTTTGGTTATCAAGTAATATTGCTGGGAAACTTCACTTTAATTTAAAGAAAAGTTTTCCAAACTAAAAACACCTAGTGCATTACACGAGAAATAAAAATTCATTTTGCCTGAAAGTGCCATAATGGTATTTAAGAGAAAATAAGTTCTACTAATTCAAGAGACATTTTACACAGCAGAAGCCTGGATGTTTACAAGACACTTGTTTAGCTTTAGGTTTTCAACAAAACTGTTCATTATTCAGCACTTCACAATCAAAATAGTCTCACTGATGGGCAAAGACATCCACCATATGTAGCATCTCCATCTTCACATGGAGAAGTGGGCTGAAAAGTAAGACTCCTGTTGCACAAGTAACTGCATCATTAGGCGATATTAAGCTGTTTTTTTCTCCAGCTGATACCAGACTTACTTAGAAAAAAAACCCAAAACCACGTGAACTACGTGTTTGGTCAAATGTCTGCCAGCAGAAACCACATATCTCAGATACTTTTAAAAAGAGCATCTGCTGTGGTTTGGGAATGGTACTCTCCAGTTCAGTGTCCCCACCAAGACTCTCCAAGAATGCCTTCTCCCAGGAAGCAACTCCTTTTCCCCCATGATGTGACATGGTATAGAATAACCTCCTGGCCATGCCCTCTTCCAACTGCTGCAAAAATTAACACTGTCTGGGCTGGAAGCAGAACCACATCTCTCACTTTTTCTTTTATCTGAGAATTTTTTACAACAGCCTTAGGAATTTCCTGAACCAGTTGATCACTCCCACGAGCAAAATCCAGTGCTGCACCCTTATCTGTGCTGATGCCAACATTTGCAGCCATCATCAAAAGTCTTAAGGAAAGGAGGATGAAAAGCCTCATCTGAATGGGTAGTGTAGATGCACCCCTATCAACAGCAACTTGATTCCACAGCATCTCTGCCACCTGGACAGCTAGGGTGAAAAGGAAACTGTAAAATGTCCAGGGTGTCAAAAGCATGAAAGATTTATGATCAACAATGAAAGCTATCTCTCTTCTCAGTTCCCTTCTGTAAAGTTGTGACTGTTGCACAACTAAGTACATTTAGGTGAAGATTAGGCGACAGATAGACAACAGACACTATGGATTTGGATAACACCTGACTATTATAGATCTGCAACTCAGTATTAGTACTACTGCTGGAGGAATTATGGTAGCTTCAGAGAATTCATTCCAAATTCAGTGTTAGCTTCCTGAGAAAATGGTGACATAAAAATACTTAATGTAAATTTACATTGAACATGAGAAGATGCTACAGGGCCACACAATACAAATCTGCTGACAATTCATTAGGGCTCTCTCAGAAATAACCAATCTTGCCTCTCCTGCCAGAGAGAATGTTCACTTCTGAAATCTCAAACATTTGGAGCTACCAAAGCCATATGCTGCTTCTGAGGCAAGCACAAACACACACACTTGCTGAGGCTGCCAAGCACCCACACCATAAATAGTATTATCTCTTAGGCTAAAGCATAACAAGTGCTAAAGCACAAACTGCTTTCACAAAAACAGTAAACAGCTGTAAATTTCATTACTTGCTAGAGAATGATTAAACCATGAAATCAGTACTGATAAAGGTGAGAGACTGTCATTCTCAAGATTGTATTGATTATCCAAACCAAATCATACCAGTGTTATCATCCAGCCATACTGCCACTTCCAGTCTATCTCACTTGCAAGACATGATATTAGTGCCAAGTGGTGCTGTTTATTACACAACCTTCTTTCTTCCCTTACTATTGACAGCAATAGTTTTCATCAAAACATGATTTATTAGTGCTTAATTTCTGTTAACCTTTTCTCACATTTCCTTCACTCTTCATCTCTTCCTTCACTTCTAACAGCTGACTTCAGATTATCTTTTTTTTTCATGTAGGGCTTGATAAGGATTTCCATGGACAGCAGACCAGCTACAACAGATCTTCCTTTCATCTTTGTTTCCTCTGCTGCTCACACCAACCCATGTGCCAGAGAGGCAACACCGCTGTTTGAGCAGCTGCACATGCCAGAGAAACTCACCCAGGCTAAAACATATCCCAGGGAAAAAAACCCTATTGCAACCCATATTAGTTCACACATCCACCTTATCATAAAGGCAAAGTCCATGAGAAGCAGGAAGAGTTGCTCAAACTGTTCAAATCTGAGCACTGAAATGTACCAGCAGAAAAAGCGAGTTGGGGCAGGGACACACACCTTGGCTG